AGAGCACATTGCACATTATGCCACTGTACAATGTAACACCTACTTTTCACTATTTATGTTACGAGTCCCATGTAATAGGGGGTGAGTCTATTGCCATATTACCAGGCATAATTCCAGACTCCGTGCTACTACTGAGAAGTTTTTAAAAACCTAGTAATACTTTGCCCAACCTTTGGAATCAAACCCGAGACCCCTTGCCCAGTCGCACTTGCAACCACACAGACAATGAGGCAGTCAATTTTAGGTAAAAATTAAACTGATTTTAGATAAAATTAAAGTTGATACTATGATACTATGATTGATACTATGAATCAACTAAAATAACCAATATTTATATTATTGAGATAAATAAATAATCATATCACAATAATTAATTTTATATGATTGTATAATTTTGATGTCTGTCCAACCCCACACATGAATAAATTCTATTAAAGTTATTTTAAGTAATATACAAACCTGAAACACAGGTTTCGGTTGTTGATATTGCTGCTGTTTAGAGCTTCCACCAGCTTTGTTATCTTCTTCAAGGTTGACAGCAGCTCTTGTCTCCTCGGGTATTTCGTCCGCATCTACCTCTCCGGACCTTATTAGGTAACTGACAAAGTCTTTAGATGCATTCATTTGCGCATCTTTCTTCGTTGTTGAGTTTCCCGCCCCAACATAAGTGATTGTACCCACACGAACTTCGCATAGAAACCGCTGACGATGTTTTGGTCCTTTAAAGTTGAGGTTATATTTTTAAAATATAATGTAAAGTTAAATAAATGTTTCGTAAATAAATAGGACATTGGGGAAAGGTATAATAGGACATTGGGGGAGTTTTGAGTCTTGAGAGACCATTGTTTGTTTGTTTGTATTTGTCTGCTACGATGAATACAAGAGTAAATTGTACAGGTAAAACAAACTTATCGATTTTTGCATCGCATCAACATATAAGCATACTTATCATTTTTTTATCGTGAGTATGTCAATGTAGCATCTAGATAAATATTATATAATTACGAGTCAAGAATCTATACATTTCGTATTAATAAGAAAAAAAATAGTAAGCGGTAATTTTCCATACCCGTAGCCCGGATATCGTAAACCGGCGTAAATCCTTTCCTAGCACACCAAGAGTAAAGAAATGACTTTGCGTCCATCATCTTGCACCGGTTAAGGCAAAATGCCTTGAATTTACACACTTAATAACACACGGTGGAATATTTAGATATTGCAAATATTCCGCTCAATAAATCGCAGGACGCATGAAAAAACACCACAAGCTTCGCGTATCGCGTTTGATTTGACATTGACAGTTTGTGTGACAAACAAGAACCCTGACATTTTCGTTATATTGTTTGTGGTCCAAAGAAATAGATTTGTCTATGCTTCTTTAATTACTTATGGGATCTTATCTTAACGAGCAGATGGAGCCGGCCACAGAGCACCAAACGCAGTCTCGTTTGGATTACTTTAAATGTAAAACAATCGCGTATTATCCCCTCTGATAGTAAGCAATCGGCGAAGCCTCACCCACACGACGAAGTCGAAACTCAATGCAAGCGTTGTATCACGTCGGTTTTCTGTGAGGCCGAGGATTCACTCTGGTCGAACAGGCCCATATGTTTCGAAGCATGGCTCTCCTTCACTTCAAACTAAAAATATACAGTGAGGCGTAACGTAACCTGGTTTTTTCCTCGTAGCCAAATAGTGATTTATCTAATTATTTTATGAATAAAATAATTCTGTTTCAATTTCGCTGGGAAACGATATTACACATACTCCGGAATTAGGAAGCGGGCGCCATAAACTTAATAAAGTCACGCGCCAGAAACTAGGCTCGTTACCTAGCTTTCTAACCCATTTGAAAACAGGCATGGCATGTTAAGAATAGGCTATTTAAAAGTACCTACCGCATTAGCAATTTATCTGGTGTTGCTACAAGGACGTTGAAAATAAGGCGGACACAGTCTTTTGAAACAACGATTGTGGCACCTGGTTCCTATAGATTTACATGCAGAACTCTTACGTATGTCTGCGGCAGAACCACAGAACATATACCCTAAGGGGGCAGAACATACAAGCATCACGAAGTCATCTGTAATTTTCTTGTCTGGTAACGTGGTAATCAATTTTTGTGCTTCAATCATTTGTGATATTATTTTTTTCAACGTCCTTGTGTTGCTAATAAACTACAGACGGTGAAAATATCATTAGGGGATTTTTTTTTTAAGGGGGGAAAATCATCGATTGACTGCTCCCGCCTGGGTGAGGCGGGAGGGAGTGTCAGACTCTTACTGACTAAAAATCACTCCGTTCCTTCTCCTGCACGTCGAGCCGGAGCCCCGGTTACCCGTTAGGTTCTGGAATACGCTTACTTGTTTGTTAACCAACTTCAAATAAAAGAGGAGCTTCTCAATTCGACCGTATATATGCTTTTAAATAAAAACACACGATGAAAAGTTTATATAAACCATATTTTATTAAACACACATACATCACTCGTCCAGATAAACTAATGATTACGTTACAAATGAACCATTTTCAACACTTATTTCAAAAGGAACTAAATTATAATATAAATAAATATTTTCTTAATACACATAATTTGTAAAAACTATGCAAATATTCATGTGGAAAATCGTTCAAATGTAAACAACTTAAAGATAAATTATTATTATTTAATAATAACAAACTTCAATTATGCTATTTTACAATAACATGTAAAAAAACATTTTTCAAAACTCATTTGTTTTTTTCAACTGAATTTGAACATTATGAAGTCTTGATGAGTTCGAAGTTGAATTAAACAATGTGTATAAATTGACCATACATTTTATAAAGGGTTCTTAATGTCTATTTTAACTTGTGATGAACGCATTTTCGTATAAACATAATTACTAATGAGCAAAATGTAGACATAACATTGTTACTCCAAAATTATAGTCATTAGACTAATCGATATTATAAACAGACTGTATTCCGTAACGATGTCAATATGGCGGCGCTGTTTTTATTTAAACTGTCAAACACCAAGCGGTCATCGGTGACCGCAACCTATTGGTGTTTAATTGTGTCTATAATAACGGTGCTCGACGAGTTAACCCGTCGCTTGCCGGAACGTAGATCTGGACACAATGCATTTTCTATTGTGTCTTATATACCGGCAGTCAAGAGGTTAATAGTTTGTTTGATATTAATCATAACTTCAACTTATGATAACATAGAGAAAAAGTAAAAATACTATTTCTTGATATTATACTGAGCAAGAATAAGCAATAAAAATAATGACTATACATATTTAATGTATGATTGTATCATTTCGGTCGTACATACATAAAGCTGTGCAAAACCAATATGAATTGACCGTCGAATGTGCTGAAAGATCATACGAAGCTAGACCATAATACAAGGTGTTGTTTTAAAGCCGCGTCATTTTCTAGAAGGTAACTCGGCTATCGATTCTGAGCCCGAATCCATAAAAAATTGTAGGTAAATATTTTTCATTTTTCTGATATTACGGAAATCCTTAAGTATGAATTACACGCCGCCGTCTTGTAACTAGCTTTATAACGCGGCTTAACACGTAATTGATATTATTCCTGATTCCATAAAACTCCAATAAGAAACATTGCTGTCGCTTATTCTGAAATACTGTCGAACTTAAAAAATTTATTTTAGCCGTATTTTTAACTATTGGCCCGAAACTTTCTCTTACATTGAACCTTTATGACCTCTGTGACATGCCCCCGAGAAATGCATGGTTTCAAAACTACACCTTGTATACTTATTGCTTTTACCTTGTGTACTCGATGCATAGCGAACAGAATTGATATATTTTAATGTACTTAAAATACTACATAAATAAATATAGCCTGTAAGACTGCATTTAAATTTTCTGGTATTTTGGACATCTACACCTATTTTATTGAAAATAAACTTTATTGCTATGACATAGACCTCAAATTACAATGTTTTAAATGCAGTCAAACTTTAGGATTTATAAAATAACTTTAAGGCTGTGGTAAATAGACAAAGAGAATGGACTAAAAGCGACTTTATTCGCATATGGTTTCAGTTGACTTTCATTTCCAAATTTTAAATCGATAGAAAAATTTACGTTATTTAGTACCTACTAAGTTTGAAATCGTGTAACATCTTGCTAAGATAATTCAGAAGGAACATCAATTGATTATTAACTTTCTCATGATTCCAGGAGACAAAACTACTGACCAATATTTAGCTTTGTCTCTCTTAACTTTATACGTATAGTCACATAAGAGTTTCAACGGTTTCATAAACCCAATATTTAAATACACAATTTGAAAGCGAAAAACCTAATAACACTTTGCCAAACTAGTTTTTTGTAGTGAAACCACAGTTTAGAGGACGACATACCATCCTCTATGTCTATGACCATATTTGAGCTACTCAATGACTACAATGATATTAAAACCTAAACAATAAATGACCACAAGCAACCAAAAACCTAGTTGTCATGAGATTTCTTTGAATAAATTAAAATGTTTCTTATATAGATTAGCATAAGGTTGAAAATTGCATTCCGTTTAGCGTCTTTAGGTTAATGTGAAAATAAGGCTGGAAACATACTTTACAGGGGCCGGACAAAACAGGTTTTGACAGGTCACTTTACTTTTAATTTTATGTCTTTGCACAGAGGCGAACGCGCTTTGAACGTGTACGCGTTTGGCACTCTGATTGGCGGGCGCCAATGACGCAACCAATCAGAGCGCCGAACGCTACTCGTTTCGAATATTTTAAACGTAATTCAAACTCGTACTAAGGCCTCAGATGATAAACGTTAAATCGTGCATTGAGTTGTTATAAGTATATTTCTAACTTATAATCTTTTGGTTTCAATTTGTTGAAAGGGACTTGAGTGCGTTTCCTTTACAAAAATAAATAAAAACCCATTAAATTTTCCTTTGTTTTGGGATATAAACTGGACTACGGTATTATTAGCACAAAACCTAAGCTAGCAGTTTCAACTTTGATAAAGGCTAATCGGTCGCAAAGTCTAGAACATCTTTAATCGATTTTCAACCCTTACAGCTCTGTAATAGAGTTCAAAATCTATTAATTAATCTGACTTCTTAGTGACAGATTTCTGTCGTCTTGACAGCTTTTAAGTTTTGTACAATATACATAAAAGATAATTTATTTGGAGTTACAAATCTTAGAATATCGTTACAATTAGTCTTTTAAGTTTCATAATTTGTAATATAAATAGTCTTGGTGTTATATTTGTATGAATACTTAAATAAACAATAAAATTATTGTTATTACAAAACCATATTGCTTTTTCTTTATTAAATATTAAAAACACAACGTTAAATTGGTACCTTTTAATAATAGAGACGTTTGTCTCTTTCTAACACATCGTTTGCGTATAGCGCTACCTCACTCACTCATCAGTAATAAATCTACCACCGCAAAAAAACATCACCTGTACTCTTCAGACATTCCTTTTAAATGATAAATAATGTTCTTAAACCATATATTTGACGTTAACAGGGTAGTTGTATATATGAAAAAAGAATGTTAACGGAACCATTATCGCCTAAAAATATAGTTATATCGCTCTTACACATGGATTTTAGTAGCGATGACATCACAATCCATATCATGCTTCTCTTTTCTTTTACATGACAGTTGTAGAGGTCGCTGTCATTCCATATTTCAATAATTCATATAAACTTTACTTCGAGACGATTTAAAATTTCATTACAGAAAATTTTGGCAAACACTTTACAACTACCCTCACTGAGAAAGAAAAAACCGAAAGCTTGCAAAAAACAACGGGAATGTCATTGAAACCAATTTAAGCTTTATTATTTCTTCAATAAAGTCGTTTTCGGCTTTGCTCTTGACGTTTTTGGTAGTACATGATGCCGAGGACGACTAGTACTATGATTACAATGGCTATCGCCATCATATATAGGAAGGTTTTAACTCCTGACATTGCTGGTTTGGAGTCCTCGATCCTCTCGCGAGGAGCCTCGAATGATGCCGCCGAGGGAATGATTTGGGAACGGTCTTCATCTTTGTTTTGCTGTAAAAATAAATGTGGTATTAAAATTATGTTTAGTATCACATCAACAGCCTATAAATACCAACTGCTGAGCAAAGCATCTTCTCACACGGAGAAGGTTTGAGCTTTGCAATGCGGGTTAACGATTTTAAACTATATAATTTGAAATTATAAGCCCAGGTTGCCTCACGATGTTTTCTTTCATCGTTTGTCAGGGGTATCTAAATAATCTTAGAAAGTATTTCGATGTTTAAATTAGGTTGCAATGAGATATGTTTAGTTTATCTTCTAGTATGTCACATTAATTCATTTTCAGTACAACTGTGAACCATACTCTCATAATTAAATATTGTACTATTTATTTTGACTCTTGAATAGCAGCTGGATAAATACTTTTTGTTATTTCTTAGATAGGTATTCCATAAGAAAACTCAGTACATCAACTAATAACCGTTTTGTGTAATTTTTAAACTAAAGAAACAAGCAAAACACAACTTAATTACTTTTAAACTTAGGTAGGAATATGAACCTTAACTTCTTTAGCTATAAAACAATAACAGAATACACTTACAGCCTCCAACAAGTCGAGCTCGAACATCTTAATGGCGATGATGTCGTGGTTGTCGCTCAGGTCCCCGGTGGTGGCCGACGCGCCATAGAAGTATCCGGTAGGTAGCAACACATTCTCCACTTTGAAGCATTCCTTCCACGCGTTCTTGCCTTCTAAGTCCGTTGATACTGTAACAAAATTACGTTAATTAGGATTGTACTGGAAAAACAATAATTGGTACTGGGTTTGTGCATGTTGCATAATGATAAGTATGTATTTGTGTTTATAGAAATAAGATGTCCTCCTGATATATATAATTATGTATAGAGCTCCTTTCGCCTGCGATACAGGATTGTCCTAGTGCGATCTAACTTATCTATTATCTAACTTTATGAAATCAATTTACTTATTTAATAATACCTATATATTTTGTATTTTGAGTTTTTGAATTTTGAATATTTTACTTTTACTTTAGAAGTATAAAAATTTTAGAGAAGTAATAAAATAAAGTAGTAAGTAAAGTTTTTTTCACAGGCGAGACATAGTGCAAATCAGGGCCCTTTAGGACGACCCCATAGAGTCTTTTACACACTTTTATATTGTCAAATATGTCAAATATTTTACCAGACAATGTTAAACTCAAACTAAAACTCAAAAGCATTTATTTAAC